AGGACCGTTTATAGTAAATTAGTGTGCCTCCCAGACGGTTTGCTAACCGATCGTGGCGGACAATATTGTAATTTGCGATTCTGGGATCGCGTACACTAGGTTTCAAGAATGTCTCTTGCACTAGGAAAATATCTACGTTATAATCGCGAAGGAATTCCGCGATTTCATCCCTTTGACCCTTTATGCGGTTTGCGTTGAAATACGAAACAACCAGAGCCCGAGGTTTTGTTCTACCTGCGGTTGTGTGTTTTTATGGGTCTAATTAACGACGCGGCGGAGCGCGGTTTTATTGCGCGGACTATTGTTTTTTACGGTTGGCTCGTAAAAGCCCAAAGGGCTTCCACAAGCGTTTTGTGTTGGCTAATTGCCCTAAGACGCTCGTGGCCAGATGTGGCGGCCGCTATTTTAGCGGACAATACGGCGAGTTCCTGCCTATTGATTCTATCTAATAAGCTGCAGATGTTAGCTATTTGCGCGAATGGGTCGTCCTTGTTTTCAGCGAAAACTGACGGAATTGGCTGCACCTGCGGCCGCGGCGCCGTTTGAGAGGCGGGCAGCTGTTGTGCGATCGGTCGTGAGGCGACCGGGATTACCGGCGCGGTTACCTGCGCGGCCACCTGGGGTTTCGCCCAGGCGTTTACGACGGGTACGGGCGCGGGATGAATCTAACGGGCGCGGGTTTGGGCAACGTCAATTATGCACAATTATGTATATTAATCCTTTCCCTACAAGACCTAAGTATATCATTCTCTTTATTGGCTGTTCACTATCTTGAATATGGAATGTTTCTGTTCTCTTAATTACAATATTTTTGTCGCTCTTTTTATAGGCAAGTCTAAATATTCCAGAATTTTGATAAGGTATGTTGATTTTTTTCTTTTTTCTGCGTAAATTAAGTAAATTCCAGTTACAATCACTGGGGATTTATTAGTTGTTTGTGCATCAGTTTATTTTGTTTTAATCTGAATCTCGGAAACGGCTCCAATGATTTTCATGAAATTTGGTATGAAGGTTTCATATTTAGAAAACGTAATTTTATCTGTGTTTTCAGGCAACGTGAACCAAAGTTTACGTTATTTTACGCGTCATATGAAGGACATCCGTAGCATGCATCAAGCTATTTTTTATGTAATGTAGAACATTTAATTGTATCTATGTAACACCCAGTACCGTGCGCCTTGATAAAATAATAATAAAGTGAATAACGTCATTATTGATGTAAATATCTCACATGCTAAGACCCAATTTCACCAATTCGGTCTCTAAATTAAGCTTCTTTGTCTTTAATGAAGTTTGCTGTTAAAATGTTTTGTCGCCATTAGATAAATGAAATAAATGATTATCGAAACATTTTAGTAATATTATAATAGTGATGTGAACCGAACTATTCTTTGAACTCGTATAACTTATTTGTTAAAATGTTGCTCCTTATTGAAATGTAATTAAAAATTTTGTTTTGCTCATACCTCTTTGTCGAGACTTCACAAAGATATATTTACAAATTAAATCTAAAAAAATTGTTAAACCTAATCCACGCGGCGTGGTGCCAAGAACGCTAGCTGCATTTCCTCGTTGAATAGTTATGCTTAACCTTTGAGCGAGAAAAGAACCAGCTTTCTTGTCACAATATTAGATCAATAAAGTTTGTAGATAAATAAAAAAAAAAGTATATATAATAACGCGACATGTCATCGCGTCGGAAAATTAATAGTCTGTTACGAATTAACGGTCCTGTAGAGAAGTGTATAAATTTAATGGCTGATAGGGAAAATTTATGAACCATTAGAGTATTTTGTATCTCTCATATCCCTTAGCAGTCCGTTATTACTTATAACAGGATTTTTATTAAATTCACTTAGCTTTTCTACCTTTGAAACTTCGACAACATATAAATGAGCGGGGCTAGATATTATAGTTCCTAGAAATGTTTTAAAAATACTACTTTTACATGTATCATATTAATTAAGTTCGATATATGTACGGTACGGCTGGCTGAAATTGTTAAATGCGATAAATAAAATTCCGTAGTCCATCGTTTAAAACTATTCGCATTGTTCGAGTTGATGCACGCCCGCGGTTGCGAGTAACGAGGGTCTTTACGCGAACGTCACTCTATATTGCCGACGTGGATTGTTTGGCACAATTTTAATGATATTAAGCCCCCTTTGATATTGAATTTGATGCTTTAACCTGGTAACCTGGACCGTGTACGATTTAATTACGAAATCATTTACATCGAAAATCATAAAATTATTTCGACAAAATAATTTCTTTTTATCAGTCTAAGCTATAGAAATATTCAAGCCTTGACCGTTATCACTGTATTGTTTATTGTTACCTTTAATGCTCATGACATTTTTTAGTTTAAAAACTTTCATGTTTAAAAACTTTTATATATTAGGTAATCTTATAGCTAAAGTTGAAATTTTACATACTCTCCGTATGTATAACTTTTTATTGCACAAAGGTCACGACTGGTAGTATATTAGGTCAGAAATATTAAGTAATAATTTTTACGACGCATCTAAGAGGCATTGATACAGGGATATATTTGTGTATTCTTTATTTTCGTAAGATACAGAATAAAGGTTACTCTTCACACGTAGTATTTTATTACGCTCCGTGTTTAAGGTGAAGTTAAACGTAATTACCTCAATATAAATTATACAACACGTTTATGTCCGTGCAATTAGCACGGATATAAACATGTTGTATATTTAAAATATGTAACATAGTTTTAAAATAGACTTACTGATTGTGGTTTTTCGCGCGGACATTCATTTGAATGTCTGATAAGTGACATCGTTTTACATTTACCGAGTGCCGTAAAACGAAGCATCAGAAGAGAAATAATTACTTGGAATTATATAACTTTACAATGTAGGCTTGATTTGGTAATTCTGCTCCATACAACAACAGTACGCTTTGATAAAAATGATACTTCTGCAACATACTGCATTAGGCTGTTAAATTTCAAACTTTTGAGAAAAAGTTGTTATTCAAACGAAAAGATAAATAAAAAGATTGACTCCTGATTTCGATAATACGATATGTTAACGGCACTTAATTTTTAAACGCATCATTAAAGTTTTAAGAAACTAAAAAACTAACTTTTATGAATAAAATATTTTCATTATCTTTTGAAAGAACTCTCCACCAGCCTTTATAAAAGTTTCATGCGTCTGAACCAATTTTCGAATCATTTTTTGCAGTCTGCCGCAGAAACCTCTTCTTCTAAGGCCTTAAAACATGCTGATAGTGCGTTTTTCGGTGATGAAAACTGCACCCCTTTCAGTTCATTTAAAGGTTCCTCAAAAGGTAAAAAAAGTAATCCTTATAAGATTACTCTCTTGTTTGTCTGTCCATGTTTCACCACCGATTTTCTCAGGAACCTTTGATTGTGTGGGTGGACCTGAAATTTATACCAGATACTGAGGTGAATAGTCACTATTAGGTGTTCAAATCATGGTCCTTGGTCAACACGATAAAAATATATGGGAAAATTCAGATTTTCGCGAAAGTACCAAAATTTACCTTCAATTTCCAAATTTTTACTTGTCCGAATTCCTTCCCTTTTCTTGTACTGTTTGAGCTTGCTTTTAATTAAAATTGACACTTCTAGGTCACCGGAAGTACCCTATAGGTTTTGGGTTGAAGACGCAAATGGTAGTCCCTATTTGGCAAAAAGCAAGGCCTTTGAGCACAAATATGGAAAAATTCCAAAACATAAAAAAATAAAAATAATTATAGATCATAGTATGGAACTCTTCTGGCGCGGGTCCGACTCGCACTTGGCTGGTTTTTTATTTATTTTGGGAAATAAAAAGAAGTCAAACGGTGCCAGATCACAACTGTAAGTAGGGTGACCCAACACTTTGACCGGTGAGGTGTTCAAGAAGTCCCCCGTTCTTAAACAAAAGGGCTATAAACGTCGGGAAATAAAATTAAAAAAAAACGAAAGCGATAAATCCGTTTAAATTTCCAAGAGCCCAATTTTCAAAAGTTTGTCAACACATCTGTAACACTCGGGTGTAGCAGATGTCCATGGGCGGCGGTATTCACTTACCATCAGGTGACCCGTCCGCTCATTTGGCAACTTTTCGCATTAATAAAAAAAAAGAAATAAAAAAAAAATAATAGGTTAATTTAATAATTTTCCAAAGAAAATCAAATTAAAACATTCTTTTATTATTCGAATTTTTTTTCTTCTGTTTTATTTTATATATAAACTACACAAACAATTTGCATTTCTTAATCTTTAATAAATAAAATAAGAAATAAAAACTGTGGTAGCGCTGTTTCCTTTTAATTCAGTATAGTTGAGCATTCTTATCTTAAATTCCGGTACCGGCACCAATGAAATCGCTAATTGCAATTTCAAGCATTGATCTATCACGTGCTGAGCGTGAAGGATAGTGTACAGCATCTCAGCAGTAATGAAATGAAAATATTTCGAAGACCTGTGACTTTTTCCTCCTCTCATTCCTCGACTTTACTGTTTTGTCTAGGAGAAGGTGAAAAGGGGGCAAGAGGTTCATATTAAGTGATTGGTGCCGGTTATGGACATCCACAACAGATTTGCAAATTTCAGATGCGTTACTAGCAACTTATAAAAAGTGAACTCCAGTTATTCCACTCAACAATAGATGCACAAACACACTGTGATACCGTGCTACTTCCAGGATGACCCCGTTTTTTTTGGAATCAATATATGTCCTGTGAATCATTGCCCTGAATAACTATTATTAGATCCTACAAACACATGTCCTGGCTGGGACCGACACCTAAAAATGTTCTAACAAACTGATAAGTTTGAGTACATCAGTAGATAAGTTTTTGAGCTAATTTGGGATCGAAATTCGCCGGCCCAAGCATATTAGTTTGACCATCAACAATTTACAACATTAATAACATTTGCCGTCAAATATATTAAACAAGATACGATTCAAGTTTTTCTTGTTTGCAGGTAAAGGTGAATCCCGCGTTAGTTCCGCACAATAATGGAGGACGATCGTGATATTTTGGCGATGCTCAATGGAACAAATGAAACGGTTCCCTCCGCGTTCGCTGAGCCCGACTCTTTGAACCTGATCGTACCGCTGACAGTTGTTTACGCGACAATATTCGTGGCTGGCATACTCGGGAACCTAAGCACCTGTTTCGTAATCGCGCGCAATCGATCGATGCACACTGCAACGAACTTCTACTTGTTCAGCTTGGCTGTTTCGGACCTGATCCTTCTAGTTTGTGGATTACCGATCGAAGCGTATCGATTGTGGAACCCATTTATGTATCCATTGGGCGAGGTGTTTTGCATAACGCTCGGACTGGCTTCGGAGACGTCGGCAAACGCAACTGTATTGACAATAACAGCGTTCACAGTGGAAAGGTACATCGCGATATGTCGGCCTTTCATGTCTCACACGATGTCGAAGCTGTCGAGGGCAGTGCGGTTCATAATAGCCATATGGATATGCGCGTTATGCACGGCTGTGCCGCAAGCGATGCAATTCGGCATCGTGACTTACACGGAGAACGGTCAGAGCATGAGCGCTTGCACAGTTAAAGGTCACGGTGTGCATCAAGTGTTCGTCATATCCAGTTTTGTGTTCTTCGTTGCGCCGATGTCAGTGATCACAGTGTTATATGTGTTTATTGGAGTTAAGTTACGCACCTCACGTGTTCTACATCCAACGAAGAAGATAGGCTCTAACGGCACTGAAAAATTTAGTGCCAACATACGATACCGTCACGGTACGTCGCAAAGGCGGGTTATAAGGATGTTGGGTGAGTTTTGCAAATTGTTGTTTCAAAGTTCAGTCTAATTTATAAAATTCTCATGTCACGGTATTTGTAATTGAACTCTTCCGAAACGGCTCGACCGATTTTCGTGAAATTTTGTGTGCATATTGGCCAGGGTGAAGAATCGGACAACATCTTTTTTCATCCCCCTAAATGTTAAGGGTGGTCCACCCCAAACATTTTTCCACCCTACAAATAATTTATATAGCAACCTTTGCCGGGACAGCTAGTGGATCTATGCTATGCTGATTTGCGTAACTTTTTCTACAATAGTTTCTCGCGCCTCTTATTCGGACAAATACATCTTGTATTTGTATGACCTTAAGATAATTAAGAACGGGGGTGTTGTCTATGTATAATTTAGATTTGGAACAGCTCACTGGGTGCCAATTTAACATACGAGTATTTAAATAAATAAATAGAAACATTATTGTGTTCAAGTGCGTTCCGAGGAGGTCTGTTCCTACAATTTGAACTTCTTCATGACAGATATATATCCTTTAAGGATACATATAGATAAATAAGTGGAAATATAAAATATTGTTTCTTTTTACAGTTGCTGTGGCATTATCTTTCTTCATATGTTGGGCACCTTTCCACGTTCAGCGATTACTGGCCATCTATGGAAAAAGCATGGATCATCCCACGGACACGTTTTTTATGGTAAAGTTTATAATAGTTTAATTAAAATGTTATTAATTATTATACTGAAATATAATTAACTCTTAAGCAAATGAAATTACATGCATTTAGTGTTAGAGTTTGTCCTTTTACTGCTTTTGTATTTTGCTACCCTTTTACTGTTAGTATATATCAAGTATATTAAAGTACTTGAAAGAATAAAGACATACTAAACAAGTATGTAGATAAGCAATAAGCTTACAGTCAATATAGATTTTTATAAATGTGACAAATTTACTTTTGTCCAGTAGCTTCCGTAAAAAATATTTGTGTGGCAGTCCTAGCCTATATTATTTGGTAACCGATAAAAATGAACGAATAATGATATAAAATAAGCTAACAAAACTATCACCAATCCATAGTAAGAAACGCAAATTAGATTTTTTTGTTATAACTCAGTCGTTGCAATTAACCTTATCGAGCGAGTCTAAGTTGTACAACTAGTTATGAATGACGATATTTAATAACTTTGTTTTTTTACTCCACAGGTATATTTAGTTTTGACTTATTTGTCCGGTGTCCTGTACTTTCTGTCGACTGCGATAAATCCCATCCTGTACAATATAATGTCCAACAAATTTAGGAACGCTTTTAAGGTAAGAGATAAGATAAAATATTTTGTATACTATTTTGAGGTTATACTTCGTTTGGCGCGTCGGGAAAAAATTATGAGAGTAAAATTTTTAAAATGAGCCCTCACACCGACCAACAAAAAGCGACATGATGAAGTTGGGAGCAAAGCAGGTATAAATTACCATGGCAACCAACAATAACTATTTTGACATTTAAATAAATATCCAAGTTATAACCGTTATCAATTGATAATGCAATTGCATTTAATCTTTTTCACAAACATGAATGATAAGATTTTTAGGTGTTTTTATTTTGTTACGTTAAAGAAGTATAACTTTTAGGTGCGTACGTACACACACACACACACACGCACACACTTTTAAAGGAAATAATGTTTAATACTATATTTTTTAATAAGGAAAAACTTTGAATAATGTAATGAGAATATTTTTGTAATTTTATCTACTTAACAACTGACTATGCGGGGAAAAATTATCATCGATAAAGATCAACACATCAAGTGACGGTGTGCCGATATTTCCCTTTTTTTGTAATTTATGAATAAACAATAGTCGTACTTTAGGTATAAAATTTCTAACAATATACTATTTTACTAAACCTTTTTCTGTTTGGTATGCAAAATTACATGGATAGAGCATGGTTATAGGCTGTTTTATTGACTTTGAATGACATGTACACGATATTTCGGTTGTCCTATATTTTAATGTTATTTTGTGTTTGTTACCTCATAACTCAGTCATGTACGAACGAATTTTTAAAGTTTCTCGGGCTCGGCATAGCTCCTTCCAAACTTGTAACGCCAGTTAATAGACTCTATAGAGTATGTAACTCGTTCATGGGACGATGTATACGCTTCTACAACAAAATCTCAGTAAATGCGCAAAGCCCGCTTATCAACAGGTTTAAGAAATTTATTAAAGAAAAACTTTATAAAAAGGGTTATTAATAAATGAATATATTAATGACAATAACACCTGGGAATGAGTTGATCGCTCCCAAGCCAATTCTATAAGAACAAATTTGTTGTATAATATATTAATTTTGTTGAAAAAAAAATTACAAAAAAAGAGGATACCTACGGAGTTTCTTTCGCTCGTTTCTTCTCCGCTAGAGGAACCTCATTACAAAACGGTGGTAGATTAAAAAAAAACACTATCAATAAATGAAATGTATTTTTCATATGTCGATGAATAAATGATTTTGATTTAGATTTAATTTTTGATTTTTCCTATGTGGTTCTACATTACTTACCTTAATATGATCTTAAACTCAAGTCAAATCACTCCTCTAATAGAAAATGTGTAAGTCAAATGGAAAATGTGTATAGTGAGTGACAAATTTGAAATCGGTTTTGTTCTCATTTAAATGTTTTTCTTGCCCAAATATAGCATATCACAATATGTTTAAAATATCAAGAAAGATGATTTAAGATATTTAATTTGATTAATTATTTATGAATTCAATGATACATTTACATCGAAGTATTCTGTTTTTACATAAATTACTGGGCCTCCCCGACACCGGACGGCCTTGAGTTTTTACTATTAAGACGTTTTGTAGATACTATGTCTGATATAATATATATTTTAATTGTATTGTATGTAATTCATATTATTATTCATCAATTTCTTCAACATATCATATTGAAAAATACCATATTGAAATTTGTTTTGCCAAACGATCTTTAATAGTCACATAACGTGATTGTACGTCATGCACATTTTAATTAATAAAAGTTTAATGGTTAAAATAAACTTTATAAATCCTTCAAATAGTTAAATATGCGCGTACAAATAAGAAGACAATAATAAAAGTTAAGTCATGATTAGAGAAGTCGTCACTGGAACTATAATTTAGATTTAATGAACTTTTCAAATTTTGCGGTACATATTTTACTTTGTTCACCTTATTTTATTTTCGGTTCTATTTCAATCTTATGTCACTTCGCTGATTTAACCAATGTAACGTAATATAATCTCATTATATTCTTGACAACATGAAAAGAAGAATTATGTTTATTAGTTGCTATATTTTATGTGTAGTAAGACACGAAAACATATCCGACTTGCATATGAATGTATAAACGAAACGAACCTGTTTTTAAAATTATCAAACATCACGAAATGTATTCTAGCAACACTGGTTACCATATAAATTGACTAATTATTGTTCAATTAATTAATTCATACATACAGTGGTTTAGTGAGTAAGACATTTAAAGGAAGGTTCAAATTATTAATATCAAGTTCAGCGATTATCAATTTCAACACAAGACTTCGTGGTCATCCAAAAGTACAGCTAAATTAAGCAAATCATTTGTTAATAATGTAAATTTAAAAACAGGTGGATTACCTTTGTTTTATAAAATAAATTCACTATGGAAACGCGTCACGACACAAAAAAATAAGTTTAATATTTCTCCACCCGCGTTTGATTTTATTTTGCCAAATAAGTGATATAAAGTAATTTTGAGTGTGAAATAAACTTTTAATTTAATTAACTTTAAAATGGATTAAATTAAAAGTTTATACTTTCAAGCTAAAAGGAATTCGTTCCTTAGCCACATCACAAGAAATTTCAAGTTTATTTTACCAGAAAGAGTAAAATTATAAGGCCACGGACATTACATTATAAAAAAAATTCTTAGATCTTGTGATCGAGTTATATATTTGTTAACATCGAATATTTTTGTACATTAGGTGGGTGAAATAATGTCTCGGCCGGTGTTGAAACAATAATTTTCGACACGGAGAGAATTGCTGTTTTATTCTGTTTAAAAAAAGGTGTCACTCGCTCATAACCATAAATAAAAATACGAGAAATTCTCACCAGGCACATGAATTTTAAATAACAGATTTATCGACCGAAAATTGTACGAGTATAACTGGAAACCTATATAAACGACAAAAATATATAACGTTAAACGTCTAAATTATTACTGAATGAATCATTCCTTAATTTTGTTTGTTTTAAATTTGTTATTGCTATATTAATAATATATATTGTAAAATAGTGATTCGCACGTCGGTTTGAATTCCGTTTACTTCAATAAGTCTTTAGTCTTTCCAAAACATAACAAGTACTCCATTTTTATTGATGAAAAACAAAACCGACTTCAGTAACTCACTCAATATACATTTTGTATTTGATGTTCCCTGATATATCTCCGGAGTCAAGATCCAATACCGAAGAAATAAACATCGTAACGCCTGAGAGCTTAACCTTAAACATTGCAAAATAATTTTTAAAAGCAGTTCATAAATGGGGGTAAAGGACATAAATAATACACCACCTTTTGGAGGTCGGTTAAAAATGAGGTCGGTTTAAAATCAAAGTCGTCCGAAATTTTATCTTATATCGTAAAAGAAAGGAGTGGGACGATTCTTTTGTAGAAGTCAACACTTCTTTTTATTAATAGCTTTCTTTGAGAGATATCACAATTCCGCCAATGTCAAGTTGTTGAATATTATCATTCTAAATAATTCTCCAAAAAAAAAAAAACCTTTAAAAATGTCTGATCGATAACATATTACATAACAGAATTTTTATAGAATACTGACAGATCACGAACCGAATACAGAACTAGATATAAATAGATACGCAGAATTACATACAGTTTGAAACGGGAGAACAGTAAGCAGAATCGCCTGTTAATTTGACTTTAGAGTAACTTCTTTACCACGCCATTTCCTTATATCATTATTTTAGAAAGCAAAGTCTTATTATTAAAGAAACTCAATATGTAATTTGTACTAAGATTGAGCACTTTAATTCTTTAGTTCTAGATATTTAACGGTCATATGAGTGTGTGTATCTTTTATACTTTCAGGATTCTTCTTCCAAATTTAATGAGATATCACACTTACACTTAGTTCGGGACTAGAGAACGTTGCGTAAAAATGTGTCCGAAATAAAACAGTAATTTTATAAAATTGCTTTCAGGAACACTATAAAACAAAAACATATGTAGCGTCTAGGCACAGGTTATTACTCTAAAATTAATTAAAAATTGGTATAAATTTAACTCGTCATCATATCAGAAAAGTTCATTAATATTTTTAGTAATTGGGATTCGCTTGTCCACTGTGCAGATGACATTGTCTTCGTGGTGCGGACGCAGGAACAGACCAATGGGGCGAATGTATAGCGCTCTGTTGGCGTCTCAACGTCAGAGGGCACTGGCTGATGCTGCGGACAGAGCCTCCAGCCGTCGCTTGCGCCGACACTCCACCGCCGTAACCCAGATTTGCGACGTGCCACCGAGAGTGCAGGTGAGGTCAGGTCCGATCAATTGTTTTTGTTAAACTGCGGTGCTGGCGTTACTTCACTGTCCTTTCTTTATCTTCAACTTATGACTTTATTGCTCAGGCTGAGGATCATTTTGGATACAGTCGCACTCTTACAAGAAACACCACGCGTTTATAAAGTACAACCGCTTTTCGGGACGGTTCTCACCGATTCGAGTCAACAATTAACACAGTCAATGGCCGTTGGGGCCACGCAGTGAATTTCGATATTATGTGGCTGAAATTTCCTCCCTTAGTAGATAAGCTCATGTGCGGCTCTGGCCGAAGTAAAGCTTAGTTTTCGGAATGAGGGCAAAAACATCAGTTACATAAAGTTTTTTAAAAAGTGTCATTTCTTTTGATATATGATAAACGTATAGTTTTGATTAAGCTATGCTAATTTTGCCGCTGTTACCATTGTTTAGTCCAAGTCATCAACTTCTAAGTCATACAATGTTATCATTGTTGCAGAATATTACTGTTCATAGAAAAAAAAAAAGCGAGACCATGATAAAATAATTCCTTCTCAAAATGGCTCTGCGATACTGAAGTCTAATTTTTAATATTTTAATTTTATTCATATTCGCTTACTAACATTGCTGAGTATTTTATATTTTATTATTACTAAACAGAACAGCCGTGATAGCTCAGTGTCCGGGCGCTCGCCTTTAATTCAATATATACTCGAGCCACCTGAGTTCGATCCCCGGTGCCGGCACCAATGAAGTTTTTAACTTTAAGTGCTGAATTGTCACGTGCTCCGCGGTGAAGGAAAACATCGTGAGGAAACCTGCATATTTTCGAAATAATAACAAAAAAATGTTTTGAAGATATGTGAAGTCCGCCAATCCGCAGTGGGGCCGCGTGGTGGACTATGCCCTGATACCCTCTGTATAGAGGAGGCCTTTGCCCAGCAGTGGGACATGTATAGGCTGTTACTTTACTTTTACTTACTTTAAACAGGAATTTATGTCAGTTTTGCATTCAATAGGTAATATATTTCATTAGTAATATTTGTTATGTATTGTGCGTGTTATAAAAGTATTAATTTTAAATCTTGAGCGTTACACGCAGATATGACGTGTTTGCCAATGGCTTCATAGTAGCTTAAAAATGAACCGTAATTAACCTCGTTCAGCGATAACCACCAAATAATTGGTCTAAGAGTATCATCTGAAATATTCCGCACTGGTAGTTATTACGACACTTCAATTGTTATAATACTCGTATAATTGAACATTCTTGTTCTTTATTAATGATTTCAAGGCTGCAAGCTATTTTACACCTAGTAATTAAGCAATTTTATTATTTAAAGTTTTGGATTCTTTCTAAATACATCGAACGTTGATAAGAACTACAACATTTTTTTAAAATTTTTGTTTAATTTGTATTGTATGAAACATTTCAATTAATTTTAGTAATGGTGTATGGTAAAGCTGGCAGGGTTTTTTATCGCCATCTTTTCGTGTAAAAAATCAATGCAGATCTGAATTAAACGTCTGCATGCATCTGTATGCATGGCATGTGTTTGCGTCATAATAAATGTAGAAGTAGATGCTAAAATAAAAAAGATCTCTAAACTCTTTGATACTAATGACTTTAAAGCGACGGGCCAAACGTTGACCGTAAAAACTGAACATGTCTGACGGCTGTCATTCTTAATAACTGACGGTCGTCGTTCTTTTCAGTCTATAATATAGATGACGTATGTCCGTCCATGGTCGTCAAAGAGATGTTTTAATAAAGATGGTGAATGTCCATAATGCGCGGCGTTTAAAAATTGTACCATTTTACTTTATATGACATATAAAAGTGAATGTGACAGATGATATAGAACGCATGATATGGAAAGAGATGGCAGTCTGTAGAATTGCAATCTAATTACACCAATGGAGTAATTTGGGTGACTCAGTTTCATTGCGCTAGTGTTATATTTACATCTTATTTGTAAATTATATCATTGTTCTATACCAATGATGTTTAATAATATTTATTTGTGTATAATGTCATTCGTCTATATACGTGTCACGCCTCGCAGTTGTCTCCTATATATCTTGCTTCACCAGAGAGCACGAAAATGGGTCGCACTTGCTGTTTGTTGCGAAATCTTTGGAATGTATAATTTGTTTGCAGTGTTACAGCGGCCGGGAGCTAGCTGTAGTGAACGAGTTACCGAGCGGTAACGGGCATTGTAGACATTGGCGTCTGAGACTCGCGGTCGACGAGCCCTCAGACTCGATCGGGTCACCGCGCAGCATATCCAACTCCAGCCTCCGTGAGGTCGACGAGGAGCTTACAGGAGAGGAGCTCGCCACCTTTATGTACCAAGTGAATTGCCACATAGGCGGGCTCACCTGAGTAACGTCTGTTTAGACATTGGCGTAAGACTGATCTCGAGGGAATCTTCGCAAATTCTTTCGTTGGCGACTGTAAAAGTTCTTGAAGTGGACGTTTTGGCAGTGACTTGATTAATGTAAACAATAGTTATGCACACGTGGAAGAAATGATAAATTATACTTATTAAATATGATACTATAAACTCTACAGACTTGACAAGTGCGTTTAGCAAGATCACATAGTTTTTATTGTTAAACAGTACCGAAATGAAGCGAGACTTAACAAAGAAGGAAGACAAATAGAGGAACAATCAAAAGGCAGATGTAGAAAGAAACAATATTTTTGCTAAGTTCATTATGATTTCCTGCTTCCATTTTAATTTTCCGGGTGATCGTATTTTAGTTTTATTTTTGTTTTGTCATGAACTGAGTGTGGTACTTTAAGATACAGTACAATTTGGAATAGGATAAAAACCTTGCATTTTAAGTTCTTTAAGAAAGCTTGTATGTGTGGTACAGAAAAGTCGTCCATTGTCATAGTGTTTCAATTGCATTAAAAGCAGGCGTCCAGTTGCTTAAAACAAAGTTGTGTTCAATTTACACTATTAAAATAATATATTAATATACCCTTAAAATCACAAGTCATGTAATATTAAACTAGATATTTGCTTTAATTTAATATCTTTTAATATTTTGCAAAAGATATGATCAGCGTGTTGCTGCGCTTGAATGTTAAAATGAAAACTTTCTTAGTTATTAGAAATAATTAAAATGTTAATAACGTAATATTAGGTTATATTTAGATCCAGATTTATAGAGTTTAAAACTGTAAATAATATTACGATGTAAATATAGATTTGTGTACAAAAGTAACATTTGTTAAGTAAAAAGTATGTATTTTGTTACGTTCAAAACATCTATTTCTAAGGACATTAAGAATGAATCGTACGTGCTATGCACATTTGAATTATTTAAATGTTGTTGTTAATGTCATTGATATGAAGACGTAAATGAATAATGTTTTAAATCAATTGTTATAATACTTTAGGCATAAGAACTAAAATGGGTTACTGGTTCAAAGATATTATAAAATATATTGTGAAAGAACTATGAACCTCGTCCTTATTTAATACTATCGTTCTTTACGTATAAATTACGTTACATGTATACGCTACTATAAAACAATAAGATTAGTTCCAGAAGAGGAGTTTTATGATTTTTTTTAGAGTAAGTGTACAAGACAATGTTAATTTCTTTACTCCGCCTACTGCCGTTATATCACATATATATTAAAAATTGTTTGTTTATTTGTCCTCTGTGCTTACCTATACCATTAATCCGATTGTGACATTGCATACCTTGCCTGGTATCCTAGTCTAATGTATATTTTATGAATTGGTCATTTAACTACTTACGTACTTACATACGCCAACAAATGGCTCTCCCAGGAAGTTTAGGCGACGCACCTATTCATCTGACTATTGAAAAGATTGAATTATGTCATCAAAACTGTGGTAAAGCCACGCAACATTATTTCTGGTGGACGAATGGACAGGTCCGTCTGTGTAAGTATCACGACCTAACAGAAGATTGGGTGAAGTGTCACACTTCTGCGTTTCTTCTGGTGAATGAGGTTGCCGGTACCCACTTTACTAAAAGGTAGCAACGCGTCTGCAACCCTATGGGTGTTGCAAATGTCAATGGCGGCGGCACTTGTTCAGTTGTACCGCCAGCTAGTTTGCCACCTTCTCCTATAAGAAAATCAAATTCTTATGCATATTACGGGGCTATCCCCTTAATGTCTTTAGGTTCGCTATTGTGCCAGTGTTTGGAGCCATATATTTATTCAGAGAAATAATCAATTTTGATTATAATTCGGAATCTTCAAACGCTGTTTCGTATATCAATTCAATATTGTGACCCTAAATAGGGAAACATTTAAGGGCACAAAATCCGAACATGACAGCAGTCTTCCACGCTCCGGTTTGGAATTAATTTCTACTTCGATTAAATGAAAAATGCAGAGTATTTAACAAATTACATTTTTAAAAATAAGCCAGAATAATAAGCCAGGGGACAGAAATAAACATTAAGTCTGAGAATTTTCATTGACGTTTAATTTGCTGAATAATTACTTTTTGAGATTGTGGATGTGAACAAATTGTTTAATTTTAACAAATACTTTATTTTTTACTAGTTCATCATCAAAAATGCTTCTACAATAAAAAACATTTCACACAAATTCTTTAATTTAACAAACCTACTTCCTGATTTTATTCAAATTTCGTCCGGGTTCGATTCCCTCATGGGGCAACTATTTGTGTGACCCACAGTAATTGTTTCAGATCTGGGTGTTTGTCCTCGAGAAAATTACATTTATAAATGTCTATGTATTGCAAATATCTATGTCCTTCGACAGCACAGGATAATGTTAAATATAATAAGGGCACTGTTTAGAAAAAAAATCCTGTACTTTTGTTTTTATTAGTATTTTTATAAAAGTTACTGATAAGAAATATAGATTTTATTATTCAAAATTATTAAATTATTAATTTACAAAACGTCTTTTTTCGTTGCTATTAGTTGTATCATAAGTATAAAAGAAATACGGGTTTGCCTTTCTAGCTCGCCTTTCTGCCGCAAGTTGACAAAAACCTTCACAACCATAAAGTAGATATTCTACCTACTGTACCTGCTCATTATCTAAATACCGCACCCTTGGGTTGTTAGAAGAGGCATCCCAAAAGAGATTGAAGTGGAAGAAGTAATTGCCAAATACGATTCCAGTGATACCCCGTCTTAAGCGTTCGACGCCTCCAACGCCAACATTATCGTGTCCTGACCAGCTGTTAGAGTACACAACCCGCAATTGATTTGCCTTTCCCAGTTGCGTCAAATACCCCGGGTACTATGGCACTCCCGGGTCCTGCCATAGGATTCCGTTTTCCAGGATCAACTGGATCAAAAAAAAAGAAAAAAGTCCTGAGAGCGTTAACTGCGTGAAACTGGGTCATCCCGCAAGTAACCGGGGCTGTGAATAAGTCCCGGAAACCACCGTGAGACCCAGAAATCCTCACCCGCAAAAGTCACGCCCGCGAAAGTCGTGCCCACGAAAATCCGTTCGTAAACCGTTTATTAATACGTCTGCTTAGAAAGGCCTAAATCACCCCAGACACGTTACCACTATAACTTACATAACTCTTCCAGTAAAATACCCTTAACGCATAAACTTTTGTTATACAGAGCCCATTATGTCCTACGCTTGTATGTCCTTTTCACTTATAAACACGTGCTTTATAAGTGAACAAAGGACATACAAGTATCTGTAAATATTACCACATTAACTGCTTATCACCCATTGGTAATGCTTAACAATTGTCTACGGTAAAAATCAAGAACCTGTATTTTCCAGAGTCTAAGCGTGACAACTAGAACAACTAAAAATCTTTCAGTATTGGATTAAAACTATAGAAATATCACAAAAATGTCGCGTCAAGCCATCGCAGATTCTGAAATTCTTAAATAAGTATTTCAAAAAATAAAAAAATCACGTCTGTTGTATGGGGGCCCACTATTATTTTTTTATCCTGGTTTTCAGTATTCTTTATTATAGCGGTACCAAAAATACATCTTCTGTGAAAATTTGAACTGTTTAACTATAACGGTCCATGAAATACAGCCTGGTGACAGACAGACATAGAGACAGACAGACAGACAGCAGTTTTTTTTTTTGGGTACGGATCCCTAAAACAAGCAGTTACACCAACCACTATCTAAATAACAGTTTTGGAAGATAAACTAGTCCGCTCAGCGAGTAAACTCAAAAGTTTTCTTAGCGACAGCGATGACGAAGAAATATTTCCTAAGCGGAAAAAAATTACAGACCCGGAAAATAACATTTACATGACCCTCACTTGAACAAAACTTTGTTCTGAAACAATATGTCTACTTACAAATACAAATGCATAATTCCAGAAACCGTCATATTATACTTTTCATGCAGTATTGATATTAAAAAGAGGTAAGTCTGTCTTTTTTTTTTTGTGGAAAAAGGAAGCTAACGAGCAAGCGGGTCTCCTGGTGATAAGCGATCTCAGCCTCAAACACTAGAAACATCGTTGTCTATATTGGTCCGGAAATACCGCTGCAATACATGCACGACAACTGGTTCCATTAAGTAAATGATTGGGCCAGAAAATTGCGTAAAAACCGAACAGTCAAGGAACGCCAAACATCAAGGTGGTGTCGATGGTAAATTTCCACATTGAGCCGTTTCATGATATTTGAAGAACTTTCCGAGCCGTTTTAAGATAATAACAGCAGATTAATTCTTTAAATGGTTACAATATCAATATGGTAATACGCTTTTATATTTATTGCACTTATTATCCATTAAATACGCATAGAAAACCAAGGGAATTCTTAGTCAAAGAAAGTTCGGCGCAGAAACCAATTTATGTAAATTACGTAAAAAGTTCAAGCACTAAATTTGAAACTGAGCTGGAAATAACTACAATTTATGTGTGGCCTAACTACATAAGTGGTGTTGGTGTTTTCGACCGTACATATTTTGTGGCTGCCCGCCTGCTAACAAGGCATTGCGAGGCGGCGAAGAACATAAATTATAACGACGAACCTAAAATTCGCGTAGGCTACGACATCCATCTATCTTGTTGACCTACGAAATATCCATATCCTAAATTGTCTATAGCTTTTTGCGTTTCGCAAAAACCCTTATCAGTAATAGTCCACGTAAACGGATAATAACATAATTATCTAATAAAAATAATATTTTGATAAAATAATAATATGGTAAACAAATTTAAAAAATACAGAATTATTTATAAACCATTTTTTATGGAATGATGTAAAAATTTTTTTCAAAATAACGATTTAAAAAATTCAACAAACCTTTGAGTAGTACAAAAACCGAAATGTTTTTTTCATCTTAATGTCAATAACAATTGCAATTTTTTATCTGGCAGTCTGTGGCCTTTGTTCAACAGTGGACTCGAGCAG